TAATATTATATGGTTAAATGAATAAAGAGAGTTAAAGAACATTTGGCATAGTGGTTTGGAGATAATAAGTAATGGTTTTACTCAAATCGTTAAAAGTAAGTATTTGATAAATTTATTTATTATATAACTGTTGTAAATTAGGTGTTTAGTATTTTTTTTTTTTATCTTGATTGCACAATGAGAGGTAACCATTTTTCATCCCTTATCTCACTCTACTTGCATGCCATGCGACTTGAATTCATGATCTTTTACTTCCAACGGAACGAGATAACCATTTAACTACTTAAATTGTTAATAGTAAAAAATTTTATTTAATAGTTTGAGATAAGCGAATAGTGATCGAATCGTTAACGAATTGAAAAAACTAAGATGGCTTTTTGTACTAAATCGCTAACGAATTAAAATTTTTTAATTAGTACTTATCTCATTAGTTTCAATTTTATTTTTTTCTTTAATAATATTAAGTAATTATTATATTTTTATTTTTACATTAATTTATCATAAAAAATATTAACTTAATAAACATAATTTGCTAATTAGCCAAAAATATTTAAAAAAATTTATACTTTATTTAAAATTAATATAATTTTTTATTTATTAAAAATAAAAATTAGTGTATGATTACAATATTATTATTTATTTATTATTATAAAATTATAATTTTAATGATAATAATATAAAAAAATATATAATTGTTTTTAAACATATCGTTATCAATAATTTAATTTAAAATAACTTGTATAATCAAATAGTTATATTAATTTAATCCATTGTCTATTATCTATTACTCACTTTTCACTATCCACCATCCATTATCCGTTAATCGTCACTCGCTACTTTCTACCGCTATACGCTATCCGTTATCATTATTCGTTAAATTTTAACTATTATACAAAATAGATTTTTAATCATTTTAATAATATATCAAATTATGCAAAATAATAATAAAAAATTTTGTTTCTAAATCATTTTTTATTGACAATAGTACAATGGGGAAAAAAAAAAAACCTTTATATT